ATATGCACAGCACCGAAACCGATCGTCGCAATTTACATAAACCATTGCATTCATCTACTGTTCCAAGTCAAGGCTATCATTAGCAAATCACCCTAGGAATTTTACTGCTCAGTTATTGCGGAGCTGTGCAGTTGGCAAAGCAAGTTCCGTACAGGGTGTGCTTACAGGCCTGGCTCGATGGAATTTAAAATCCATGGACTTTTTGGATAAAACTTTGCGCATCATTTACACTGTGATTTATCCAGTACCCCCACCCTTTGAATGGAACGGAAGAGAAATCAGTTTTAGACTATGCTGAAATTAATAGAGCAATATGTCCGTCGGAATGGTGCCATTGCGACGTGTATAAGAAGAACAGCGCAACTGGCATGAAACACCATTTTGCGACCGCCTGTGTCTTCAGGTAATCTAAAGCTTTCGTCCTGCCGTCCTGAACACACGTCTAGAATCTCGAGTAATAATTATTGAGAAGATTGCAATAAGAAACCAAACACCGAAGCTTGCCAGCGGTCTGAGAACCTGAAGACTTTAGCTGTTGCAAGCTGAACTACAGTCCAGAGAGGCATCCCTTACTAACGCCTGCCCTTCGAAAAGGCTGCTGGAAATAGTGCTGACGCATCCACAGGGGCAGTAAACGAATCCACAGGGAATAATTCGTAATCTCGGAACGATTCTGATGCCGGACTCCCATAGGCAGGTATCAGTAGTAATTAATTTCCATATGTACTATGGACAGTCAAGTGACTACCACTACTATCTCTAACGGGTCACAAAGATATGGGTTCGTGATGCAAAATATGATAAAAAGCGTAATTCGCCAAAAAGCGGTTTAATAGCACACGTACATGAAATTGCCTCCGGTTTACTGATAGTATAGCTGTTGTCAACAAAACATTGCAAAATGTAATTGCACGTTTCAGATGCCGAAATACCTTGAGGAACAGCCATTTAAATAGCTCTAGGTATTTAACATCGAAAAGATAGTGCTATACGTGGCAAAATTCGATTTTGGATGAGCCATTCAGTTATCAACATACGCTGATATACAAACTAACACAAGAACTACCAGTTTCTGAAATCACTGCTGACGACCAAGGTATTGTTTCCGTTTGTAAAATGGTACTATATAAACGTAGCACTGTAGCTACACACAAATACCATTGAGCCATAACCTGCTAAAATGACGCCTTGAATGAAGGGCGACCATACGGCGTGAAACGCAGTTTTGGACGAGTTAGGGCTTATTAGCCAAGTCCTGATAAGTTTAGTACTACTGTAGACAGAACTTATATGCATTTTAACGATTCGGCGTGGTCTGTTGAATCTGGATGGCAGCTCCTTTGCAATCAATGCTGCTTTTAAGCATGAAATAAAGAACTTAGTGCCAGAAAACGCTGTACAGGATTCAATGATTCAATAATGTTAGAAACTGTCGTTATATTTACCGCCCTCAATCCACTTCCACTCAGTGTGATCGCAATGCCGGATAATACCTAAGCTGTTCGACATGCTCGTCTCATATCGAATCTTAATGCTCATGTTGGAATAGTAATACACGGAATTCCCTTGCTGAACACTTCCTTTAAATTCGTTGCCAAGCTGCCATTGGTCAGTACGTAAGTTTTAAGAAACGGTTAACAAACGAACCCTTTACCCTGAGAAGATCCCTTATGGTTTCGGCGAAACCGACGGTGCACATGGCTGTTGAAGCAACCAGAGTCAAAGAGAATATCACGCCGATGCTTCCGCCAAACTGGGGTCCAAGCGAGCGCGAAATCATGAAATAGGCGCCACCTAAAAGTGAGTATTTTAAAAGAACACCCGTCGAAGAATAAACCTCGAAACCGCCACCGAATCTTACCTCCTTTCAATTCACCGTTGGTGCAGATGGCACACATAGACAGCGCCGTAATACAACTCACCACGGAGCTTAACAAAATTATTAGACCGCTGAAAAGAATCCCTGCATGACCGGAGATCCAGCTGATGCGCAGAAACAGTATTGTGCCCAAGATACTCAATACGCATCGCATCTGCAACGTAAAGAATTGCAATGGAATTAACAAATTCCTTGGGGTAGCAACTTACGAACACGCCCTGAATCCACCCAAGCTTAGCAGAGGCCCCTGAGACTCGAATTTCTTCATTTTCGGGAAGAACATTCTAAAAAAAAGTTTTTAACTAACACGGCCTACAAGAACATGTACTTACATAAATTAAATAGACAAATACCTAAACGTACATAAGTATATCACATTATCATACATAATACACATCGCTAGATGCATATGATCGTCTATATCTGTACTACGCTGCGCTCTCACATATGAAAGTAGTATGTATTACCGACCCAGCTGACACAACAATTAGGATAATGTAGCAAAATAGTACGTCCTTTGTTTCACATTGGTACCACACTCTGCTATGTAACGTCAGTAGTTACGCAACACCATACTCCGACATGCATGAACTGCGCTACGAATGCAGTTATGCCTAACTGTACAGATTCATATCATACTGCGTACATAATACAAACATGATGTACTGTATATACCAGTATGCTACATGTCATATCAGTACTACACGGCTGGGGCTGGACATTATATCAATGTGTACTATGATGACGACCTCATAAATATGCTGCATAACAGCATAAGTACACAGATTCATGTGTTGCACATACACACAAGTTTTGCAGTGTGATCTGCATGTAGGAAGTATCGTAGAACATGTACCATAATATCTAAATATATGCATAGCACGGTGTGGTACCAAGGTAATACACCGTACATATCAGTATGCTAAATATCATATTAATAATACAATGCATTATGCATGCAGCTACATATCACCGAACAGGCTGATACCAAACTTATTACACACAGAGTACATTTTAGTACTTATATTATGTACCACTGTATATAGCAGTATCCAGCGTGTAATATAAGAACTGCGAGATATTGACTATCCTATTAATGTGACACTTAACTTTATTCATGTTACATTCACAGTGGAGTAATAATATGTACGGGGTACTGAGTTAGTACCATACCCTACTATGCACATAGTTATGCAAAATCATATATAATTACATGATACTACTTGCGTAGAACAGTATGGTACTAACATACAGACTCAACCATGCAAAATGACATGTACAATATGTTATGGTAGTACAACAATGTACCACGCATGGAGCTATGTGTAATCGTGCATGTTGAGACACTTACCGCGATTACGGTATCTATATAACACATAGTACGTAAATAAATATACTATGCAAACTATGTATCTCAAATGCATGAGCATAATCTTACGTACATTATTTTTGTTAAATAAATCATATTTTAATTATTCAGAGACAAAGGCACTGATTTCATTTTTTGTGCG